TAATAAAGACTCAAACGAACCTTTAAATATTGAGTGGTATCACTACAATATAAAGCAAGATCTTTCAAGGAGAGAAAGTCTAATTTCTAATTTTTTATGACGGAAACTGAACAGTAATAAGATAATTAGGAAATAAATTAAGTTTAGTAAATTTGGATCACGCCATGTGATGTTTTGCGAATCCTCCATTATGCGGTCGGCCATCAAAAGTATGCTTTCGCATGAAAGTAATGTACAATTTTTGGGGTATTATTACCAAAACATGTGAATGCATTAAACGAAGCGCAGTAGGTGTACTTAAGAGTCGGGGAAAGATCCTCTCAAAGTTAGCGAAAATTTCTTATCTTCAATTGTTAAATCGAATTTTCAATTTTTCCATATCAAATTTTCCAAAACAAATTGTAAATTCAGGCACGTAATGGCAAGATATGCCAGTAATAACTAAAGCATCATGCATAAGTGTGCACATCGAAAGCAAACAAAAGAAAGTTATATTCGACTGTGGTCGAATCTTCTATACCCAACACTTTACCTAAAAAAATAAAAGGGACGCGGATGACGTCACTATTTTTGCGCAAATGCTCAACAGAATATATGTGCAAATATTTATCATTATTGCGGTTGCAGTTTTGAGTAATGAGCAAAAAATCCAACTCTGTGTTTGCTTTCGAAAGCGGGCATGTTGTCAGACAGCCGGACAATACATGAAAACATCAACTTCAAGCGATTTGGCTCATTTGCAATGCATACTTATGTGCAATAATTTTCAATAGTTTTGCTAAAGTTTATAATCGGGAGAACGTTCACGGCATAAATTACACGTTTTGATGTTGATGGAGAATGCTCATGTAAATCTGAAATCGGAATTTTTTACATAAAAGATGCAGATTTATTGCATAAAAATGTTAAGAAATATTTTTTTTTGTTACATCCAGTAAGGATATGAGTTTTTGACACTAAATTTTCTTAAGAGCTTCAGATTGAAAACCGCAAGGAAAATGATAGCAGAGAAAAAAGATGATGCGGATCACGTGATGATTGTAATTGATTTATTGATGATACAATGATATTAGTATCTCTCTCGATTAGTTGATATTCAAGTTGTAAGTCCCCTGAGTACTTTCCATGCTCGAGTTTAGTCCAGAAGATTGATCTCAAGCTGAGACTGGCTGTACATGAATTATTGATTTAAGGAATTGTTAAAATTTTTAAAAATACTATTAGGCAAGGCAAAAAGTTTAATTAAAATTATGATAACTTAAATGCTGAAGTCAGCACTTCTAATAAAGGCTGTTAGCTGCTTAAGATGAGCTTTATTGCGAACACGAAAGATTTCACATAGATTATTATAGATATCGAAAGTTTCAAATGAATGCCTAGTGTTTTCGAATTTATTACACATAAAAATAGGATGCTGACTCATCACATAGACCAGATGACATCCGTCCAACCATCGTTATACAGACTTTGCCATATGTGTGATTGCACCTGGGTCTTTTGAGCACCTTAATCTCCCATTTGCAATATAATAAATATATATATATATATATATGGTGTAGTGTGATTGCATATCGTTGTTATGCATCCGCTTTAAAGTGTGACAGAATTATGCAAAGTCAGCATAATTCCTTTGCAAAAAGAAAAACGAGAATTATGTCACACTTCAACTGGCGGGAAATTGCATTTCAAAATGCATTACGATACTAGGCGCCCTAACGAACCTAAACCGTAACAATTATTATTTGCTTACTCTAGCATTAAGATACCTGTAAAATTTAGTGTAAATAGCTATACCAAAACTTAATAAAGTCAATTGTCAATTGTCATAAAGCAAGTCACATACCGTTTCATTCGCTAAAACTTAAAAAGGCGTGCCAGCCGCCTATATTTTAGATAGGGACTGCTTCTGGCCGGCCTTAATGTTGGCACTAAAAGACGCAGATTGACTTGGCGGACTGAAGCCGAGCAGCACAGCAAAGTATTTGACGACAGCACTCTGGTCACTTATGTAGAAAGATTCGTGCGGAATCTTTCCAACACTGAATAGGAATAAACGGTATAACATTCATTACGTAAAGTATAGGGCTACAGTCTATAACATTCTAAATTCTTCACAATATATATATATATATATATATATATGTAAATATGTATATATATGCAAATAATCCTCATCTCCAGAGTTTCTCATTTGGCATATAATCACATCACCATTATACTCCGTGTTGTAGTTATAAAGACAGTTTATTGTAAGTGTTCAATAAAATGTTTGATAGCCCAATCTTGAGAAGATTTAGGCCACGAACATATAGGTCAAGATTTGCTTTATTACCGTTCGAGAAAATGTTAAAACTTATTTTACGTATCTTGGGCATCGACAAAAGAAGACAAAGGCTTCTTACTCAGTCAATAGGCATCGCTTAAACAGGTTCTAGGGTGAGTACAACCATCTGGTCAATAAAGGGGAGTGGTAGGGTACGCTAGTGCAATGTTTTCTGAATAAATTTTCCACTATATGGTCGACGTGGTCGTGTAGAAAGATTGTCCTGTAATGTCTTCTTAGATATTGCGACCCTTGTTCCTTTGATGATCAATCGAATTGCATTAGTTGTAATCAACAATGTTCCCTAGTAATGGTTTTGTTTAATTAGAACGGCCGGGAACATACAGTACGTCCGGCTAATCATCCTAAATGTAGATATCAAAAGTGTTGGCCTTTAACGAGGCTACATCCCCCGCCTAAGAAACGTTCATTTTAAAAATAGTTATGTTCCTTACGTCAGCTCCGGATATCTTTACACACTTTCTCAACATATTAACCGTAATGTAATAATACTGCTTCCCTTGCTGGAATAAATAAATCGTTCACCGGTTCCATATCATTGACTCTGTCAGGGATATTAACATTTCTTCGCGATGGAATTGTGAATATTACTCGGTTTATTCAAATTTTAACCCGATTATTTTTAGCAATACACTATACTGCTGACAGCAAGTTAGTATTTAATAGGGAAATTATATTTGGTGTGGGGTAAATTATGGCTGATCGTTAGGAACTTTACGTGGAAACGGCACATCATTCCCTTTCATCTACATTTGTTTACATGTTGAGTGAGGGATTTATTATGGTTCACATTTGTATACACCTACTTGATTAATTGGCGACATTATCCTATCTTTCGTTACACCCACTGCTTTTTATTTTTATTTTTTTTTAATAGGACCAAACGGTTGTGCCTCTTTTCGTGTAGAACGCTCAACGTGGGAAAACCATGAGGAGAAAGATAACGGGGTGACGGGCGCAGACTAGTGAATAACCATAATTTTTTGAGGATGTGGATCTTCCCCTTTACAACTTTATTAACCACACTCCCATATTTAAGAAATCATTTTGTACAACGAGCGTGAGAAGTGTTCGCAGAAGTAAATGACTACCCAATTGAATTAAACTCAAATGTATTGGGTTGTTCGAAAAATCATATCGTAATTTGAAACATAGATTTAATTGCATTTTTTCGCAGCCAACTTCACACTTACGGTGCACTCCCGTTGTATATTTTAAGAGACTGTAAAGCAGAGCTTGTTTGTGAAAAAGTTCGGTTAATTCTACGGAGAAGTACCTGCTTGGTACTCTTTCAAGCAACATATATTAATTTTTTACTATCGAAAAGGTAAAAGTACTGTTCAAGCAATTTCTTGTACAATTCTACAATGTATGTGGAGAAGATTTACTGACAGAACGCCGGTGCCAAAACTGATTTACAACATTGCGTTCTAAAAAGTTTGATATTGATGGTGTATCACGTTCTAGTAACATCCAAAAGGAAGCTTCAGAGATCCTATAAAGTGTATGTATTCTTGACGAGCGTGAAATTCGGACTCGGTTTAGCTATGTCTATCCGTCCGTGTTTCTGTGTTGTTTGTTGTTGGCACTCTCCTAGTCGCAAAAATGAAGATACCGACTTGAAATTTGGTAGAAGCATTGAAAGTATTTGCCCGCAGATTAGTATTGAAAATGGGCTAAATAGGTTATATCAGAAGCCCGGAGTGGAGCTTAAACTGAACGCAACTTCGTTTTTCTTAACAAAAATTTGGGGTTTTTTCTCGTTAATCAGAAATTATAAAAGTCAGAAGGCTGAAAGTGTCCACGTTTACTTTGTGAAACACTCTACTCTTTACGTGAAAAAATGTTAATAATCGGTCATGTCGACACAACAACGAAGTTACAAACGTTTAAATTATCTTTTTTTCACTTTTCTGAGATTTTATGCTTAATTGTACTCGTAATGTAAACAAGGCAGAATGCTTAAGGTGTTTTGTACATTCCTCAAATGATAGATACCTCCACCTGGTGGACTAATTTTTTTTTAATAATAAGAGCGATTAAGGTATCGAATAAAATAACTTGAAGAGTGGAATGTGAAAAGGCAAGTGGTGGGTATGCGAGATTCGACCCCAGTCGAATATAATTTTCTTACCTCCTAGGATATCCTGATAAATTTATCCTAGCAAATCCTTTAGCAATCCCTCCACATATTCAAGCAGAATGATATGCTTATGCAAGTCTTAATAGATTATGCGAATTTTATTATAATCGCCTTAGTTTTATATATTGCTATTTTATCATTTAACAAACTTGTGAAAAATTCAATTTTATCCTATTAGCTAATTAAGAATTTGTTCTATAAGTAAGGTTGTTATTTTGCTAACTTGAAATCTTAACTCGACCTCTTGTTGACCTCTGAGTTTGCACATTTTATTTATATCACATTTCATGGTCACACATGTCTAATTTACATATCTTAACGAAGAAGAAGTTTTGCTTTTGAAAACCATGACAACGACATGTGACCAAAACTATTCCGCTTAAGTAATAAAATCGAACAGAAAGTTCATGTAATAAGTACTAGACGAAAATGCGTTTTATTAGTATTGAGTAGTATTGAGGAAGTGAATTGCACATCGATCCGATTATTTTACAATCATGGCTAGCGACGATTCATGGGTTTTCGATTCTTTGGTATGTTTTTTACACGGACCTGTTTGGAATGCGCCTTTACAAACGTTCGTCGAAGAGAAGTCCTTACGTAAGTTCCCTAAATTCTAATAGAATAATTGTTGAATAATTTTATTATTATTTAAATTAACTGATATATGCTACCTGTACATAACCCAGTATTTGATCCCAATTTGCAACCGGATTTTACTAATCCCGATATACAGCAAATACATGATGATTATAAAAATTTAGTGGATTATATGTTGGGCAGTTTTATGGAGGAAATGCAAATAACACCGGAACAATTTGAAATGGCTTGTTTTGAAGGTAAAGATCAACATGTCGAGAATCCTTTTAATTTCCATCAAGGTCTGTTTCAACAGGTATTACAAATTTGATATGTCAAACTTATTCGAAATTTTCTAAACAATATATTTTTATGTAAGATTTGGGCTGCTAATGATATCAAAATTTTCATACGCATGATGACACAACGAAATGTTGAACTGCAATTGCAGGCACTTGATTTAATTGAGAAAAATCAATTGGCCCTACTACGGGAAAGTGAGAGCAGTGATATTAGTAGTCTCAGCGACCTTGGACATTCACAGAGGTTAACTTTTTACAATAGATAAAATAAAACACTACATCCACTAAAGTTTATCAACCATTTACAAGTCATTGAATGTTCGATATTTAATGCATGCTGCGATTTCATACATTCACTAAGTCATGTTAAGCCATTAGTGTTTAAAGCTTCGAAGCTTTTGTTTGATTTTTTGATTTCTCTCGAATTTTTTTCGTTTTTTGATGCATAAGTCAAAATCGAGATGGATCCACTTCTTTTCCGAATCGAATTAAGAGCATCTGTCCGTCATATTATTGCCCGTGCATTTTCGTGTTCAACTTATAGGATTTTTTCCGATCAAATTCGATGGTGATGCGGAGAGGATTTCTTATGCTACAAATTGAACTTATTTCAAGTTAAAAAGCCAAATTTAATTCGTCTACTCTTCCATCTATAATTACTGAGCAACGGCTTGCCTCAAACTAGACGTCATACGCTTATTCCTGCATAATGTGTTATGCAGATATTTTAAAATTCTGTAAATTCAATGATAAAAATCTTGGTATTGCACTGTGACCTTGAGACATTTGAATCAAGTGGTGGATGTCTGAAGATTTAGACTAAGCCCAATGGCAATTTTTCCTTGTTTCTACATATTTAGCTTCAAATTTCTTTCGCAAAATCTTTTCTAGCGATAAATTAACTGATGTTGAAGACTTTATAGCTAAGTCGGTAGACAAAGAAATGGAAAGTCCCGAGGCTGCTTTAACCCCCGAGTCCATCGAAGACAATGAACAAAATGCCTTGAACGATAAATTCCAACGTTTAAATTTGTTTTTCGATAAAAACCCGGTACTTAGGAGCAATATTTTGTGAAGATTTATTGAAAATGTGTAGTTTCCTCTTTAAAAAGGTGAGTCCGGACGAGCTGCTTACACGTCAAGAGTATTTAAAGCAACAGCGTGATAAAATCGTGGAAATTAAAAAGCGAACACGAGCCAAACAGTTGCGCGAAACTGCTAATTGTAATGGAACTATCAAAGTAAAACCTACAAGTAGCGTTGGAAGACCATCTTCTGCTCAGATGGCTCAAAAGCTGTTCGAAAGTGTTTCAAAGTCTAACACAGTTTTGGAACAACCGGAAGAATGCGAAACCAATAACGCATTACAGTTACGTAAAACTCTGGCGAAACGCTTGAAAGCAGAAGTCGTTGAACAAAACTAATTATTATTATTATTTTTTTTTTTTTTAGTTCCCAAATTTCATTTTATTTAATTCAATACAGTTTCTTTGATTAATTGTTAATTGAATTATTAAAATCAGAAAAAATAAACTTTATAAAAATATATGTCTTCTCAATGGCAAACAAAGCTATCAATGATCAGTGTATGTTGTTGATTAATGTGACTAGTACTTGTTGTTCTTCTTTGTTGTTGTTTTTTTTTTTTTTTCTCAAATTTAAAGCAAATTGAAAGAAAATTTTCTTTTAAATGTATTTTTACGGTGCTAGAGGATGATTAGATTTTATATGGGCTCGCTCGCTGCGCGTGCGCCTTTAACTTCAATATTAATTCAATTTATGCTATATAGCTTCGCACGCCTTTTTCCCCATTAGGTCGGAATACGGTCACGCAAATATGACATTATTGCTTCGGTGCCTTTCTCCAAGGTCTGATGCCGTGGTAATTTAAATGGATTACCAATTATGTCCAAAGTGCTAAATAAGAAAAACAAAGTTGTTTATAAATTTGTTCTTACATCATTCGTTCGTTGATTGAAAACGCTTACGTTATATTTATTAGATTTCCTAATATCGGCGGAACTTGTTCGATATCATTGTTGCGTAAATCGAGTGTGGCCAAACGTTGCAAAGAACCCAAACCATTTATTGTAGCATCAATGCCTTTAATTCGATTATCTCGCGCTAACAATATTTCTAAACTTTTCAGTTCGAATATACAACTGGGCAGATACTCAAAACTATTATGTAAATATTGAATACCAGCATTTATTTATTCATAAGAAAATTTAAACGAAAAAGGCTGCAAGTAAACACAACCATCACTTACCGATTGTTTGAGATGTTTAATTCACGCATGGTAACTAAAACTCCAAATTCTTGTGGTAAAGTGCTGAGATTGTTGCAAGAGAAGTTGATCAAAGTTATGCGTGTAAACTGCGATATAAACGGAGGCACATAACTTATTAAATTATTGGCAAATATTATTTCTGTGGCCACATCTTTCATGGCGAGCAGACTGCAATGATAATTTGGTAAATTGTCAGTAAAATCGTTCCATTCATGTAAAATAGAAAAAAAGCTCTCTAAAACTTCAAATTAAAAACCAAGTAATTCATTATAATTTCAACGAAATCAAGTCCCTTTCACGATTGATGCTTGACGAGACAAAGTCTACATTTTATTATTGTTCACTAATGTTTCTAATGTTCGGTATGAGGCTCGCTCAAGCAGCACTTGCAGAATTTTTTATTCTGAGATTTTCTTTATGCTCGCTTTCAATAGCAAGTACTGTGCATTTTTCCTAAAAGAACTATAAAGAAAAAGAGGAACCTGTAGCCCAATGAAGTGTCTCTATTTATATGTTCCTATTCTGTACTTTTGAAACAATCGCGAAGGGTTGAAGGTTTCAATCGTAGTTTTGCTTTCAAATGAGGCGCCTTTCCTTTATAGAAAAGGTATGTGGATAATGGGCAGCTTCAAATTTTTATGGACTCAGTTTAAAAAAAATGAATCCTTTACGGACTAGAAATCGAGTGATAACAAAGTTTTATAAACTGAATAATCAATTGTCAATAACTGACACCGGCTTTCCTATTGCATTCAATTGTCGTTAAAGCAAAAACAGCGAGAACAAGCTTTCTACGATCAACTGCTTTAGTTACTCCAAAGTTAACAATCAATATTGATCAGTATTGCGGTACGTACCCTAAGGGCAGAGTCGTTAAGCGATTACGTGAGAAATCCACGAGATTTACATTCTCGTCGGCAGCGGCTTCGAAAACTTCACCCGGAACATCGTTTAATTGTTGCATAGTAACTGCTAGGCAACGAGTTTTACGCATTTTATATCTAAAAATTAAAAAAAAAAAAACGTATTATTATTGAATTGAAAGAAAAAATAAAATAATATCTCATCGAACCTATCCGGAAAGATGGAATCTTCGTCTACCGGCTGACGTCGTGGGCTATTCAAACCGTCTCCGCCCATAGCGCGATTATCGAAATTTTGTAAAAGCGAAGAATTTGAACTTTTACTTGAGATTTCAGCGCTCTCCGCGCGATCACGTAACGTTTTCAATATACGAACAGTCCCGCACTGGAGAATGTGACGTTGTATACTTTTAATGGGATTCCCTTCAACTTGCAAACTAGTCAAGTGAGGTAACGTGGACAGCGAGTAAGGTAAATTTGTTATCGAATTATTAGATAAATCTAAACGTATAAGACTTTGCAAATGACCAATTTCATCGGGCAGTTCAGCAATTTTGTTATCACGTAAGTCCAATATTTTCAAATGTGGCGACGAGGAGCATAGACGCTTCGGAAGTCTCTAAAAGAGGGGAATACAAAACAAAATATAAATTTACTTGAATGACAATTATATTTTATATTTAACAATTGATTGAAAAAACAAAGGCAACTGTGTCTAAAAAATGGAAAAAAAATATGAAGAAAAAAAAAAAGCGAAAAAACAAGCATAAGGCAAAAACAAAATTAAGGAATGGCAAAAAAAGATAAGCATAACGCAACAACAACAAACCTCTATGAAATTATTAGATACATGTAACTCTTGGAGATCGCAGCCTTCGAAATGGGGCAGGACCGTTATGTCATTGTGCTGAGCATATAAACATTGAAGTTTGCGCAAACTGCCCATATCCTCAGGCAATGACAACAAGTCGTTGTTCATTAAATCCAATTTCTGTAAAGCTTTTCAAATGTAAAATAACTTTTCCGGTTAGGATCTCAACAAAAAAAAAAAAACAAAAAACAAAAAAAAAGTTACGTAAATTTAATTGAACTTACAACGCATATCGACCACGTCATTGGGTAGTTCTCTTATTTTGTTATGGGCCAATGAAAGCGTTGTTAAACGCACCAGAAAACCAACGCCACGAGGTAACGATTTTAATTGATTATTCGATACATCCTGTTGTATGATGGATGGATTGGATGTTATAGTTAAGTGAGATTGATAGGAATGATTATGGCATGATTTATGAGTCGATATTATTAGAAGATTAGTACGTTTTTGATTTAAATTTGTTAGAATTAGATGGATGAGCAACTTTATGACTTTTACTGCTTTTCTTACCAAAACCTCTAGCATATGCAAATCGCTGATATCCGGATGAAGTTCCACGAATTCATTGTGCGATAAATTCAAATAACGTAAGTTAGGTAATCTGAAAAGCTCATGTGGTAGCTCACACAATTTATTATGACTTAAATTCAATCGTAAGAGTCTTTCTAATTGAGCGATTTCCCTAGGTAAGGAAGTTAAAGCGTTGTCATGAAGCTGTGATAACGACGGAAGAAAAAATATATAAAAAATATTTTTAAAAGTTTTTTTTTTTTTTTTTTTTGGTTTTACCATTAACGCATTCAAAGTGTTAAGTTTTTCAATTTTCGGCGAAAGGTGAGTTAATTGATTTGAGCTTAAATCTAAATTACGTATTGGTACTTGGTTCCACCAGGCATCTTCCTCTTTAGCCACTAATCCATCTAGTGTGACCTCTACACTCTCGTCCGGCTCATTGATTTCATAAACTTTTTCTGGCACTGAAAAATAATTAATAATATAATTATATCAATTAATTAATAAGAAGTAAATATTCGCGTTTTGTTTTCATTTTATATTTAAAAGAAAAAATTCATACAATTCTTTGCTTGTTTCTCAGACTCCTCCGCCAAGTCCACCTCATTCTTGCTACTACTTGTCTCTTCACTTTCTTCCAATTCACTAGCTGAGGTAGCCATACGATATTCCCTTATATGATAATAACGTCGACGCGGGTAAGGACCACACATACAAAACGATGTGAGTTCCTTTGTCTTTGACTTATTTGAAGCAATTTTGCTAAGGATCGATTATTTCAAATAAAAGATAGTAATAATGGGATTGCTTGATCGATCAATTGTTTACGGAAAACTGTAGCATTTTTCCGAAAAATTTCGCATTTTGTTAGCTTATCTGCCAAGTCAACCATTAAATTAAATTCTCCTGTATATGGTTCTTTATGAAAGTAATTTTTTTTTTTGTTATTGCTTTTTATTCTACAAGGTTAGATAATGTTAATAAGATGATTATTTGGAAAAAAAATATTATGATAGGTTCACTGTCAAGTTCGTTTGCGTACATGTTTGCTTATGGGTGTATACGTAACGTAATGCATGCCTACATACATGAAATGAATTTTCTCCGCGTATATCACGTGACTAAACATGTTTCATCCAAAATTGTTCACATTTTCTATTCTATTCTGACGCAATACCGAACTGTTCGTGTGCCAAAGGCGCAGTCTCCCGATTGCAATTCTCAAAAATGAACTCAATTTCATGAAGTTTGGTCATTGTCCGGGTTCTTTCAGCAGGAAAATGAAATTTCGTTGGAGAAACAATCGATCGACCAAAATTGAAATGAGTTCAAATGTTATAGTCGACTTACGTCTAGCCCTTAAACATCCTACACAAAACCGTAACTAATTTTTGAGATGTATTCATAAAAATTATCCGGCCCTATTCCTTTTTAAAACTGTTGGTCCTTTATTCAAAGCATACGTCAAAATGTTTTGTCTGCAAATTGAACACAAAAATCCTTGAACATACACGATCGTAAGGACATTTAGCTTTAAATCGATTCGTAATAATAAAGAGCGTAACTTTCTCAAGCCGTTCTGAAGCAAACAAATATGTGGTGTGTGGCATAAAAAATATTTTTGTTTCATAATTTTTTCCTATATGGTATTCGAGATTCGTCTCGAAGTGAATCAAATCTTCACACTTGCTTTCGACATGTGCAATACGTATAACAAACAATAACACTTGGATAAACTACGACGAGGTATTGCTACGTTAAACTTTTATTAAACGTGACGTTGTAATTGAACAACCAATTATGGCTGTAATTACATCCTCATCTCTTTAAGCTTTGTGTAAAACTAAATAAATGGTAACTTAAGCTTTTCGTGAAATACTTTTGAAGAATTTTTACCTTCAAGAGTGTAAGAGTAATTGTCGGTGTACACAGATTTGTATGCGTCTTACTTACATAGAAATATCTACAAAATTTCATGCTTGTCGGTCTTTCTTAGCTTGAAAGCATAGCCAAGAAGTCTTGTAATCTTTTTTACATCCGTGTATAATTGGGGAGACAGGGCGAGAGAGATAGGGAAAAACTTTCGATTGCATTTTGAGAGATGTATGCTCGATCGCTAATTATTAGTCTTCACCGATCGAGTATTCATTTTAACGTTGGCCACATCTCAATCAACGAAAAAGAAAGTAAGAAGCCTTGACTTTAACCAACGACCACTTGAGTAACAATTACAAATCTAAATTGGTTAATTAAAAGAGCGCTGATGTTGACTAATTAGACGCATCTTCTTTTGTTCAATAGCGCATTTATTATACATAAGTTTATAGCCGGCCTCGATTCGAGCGCAAGTCGAGTTAGAAAGAAAAAAACGAGAGTTTACGCGAGTTGGATTTCCTACAGTTTACGTAAGTAAATATCATCTATTCTTCAAGATGAGAGGTGTTCTTTCAGAAGATTATCACCCCGAGCAAACTTTGTGTTCTCTTATACAAGACATTTTTATATTTTTATTTCCATTTTAATTAGTTTTTTTTAATATTTAACCCACTTATCTGATATAAAATCAATATCTGCTGCTTTTCATTTTACTATCGAAAAGCTCCACTGTATCTCGTTATTGTTGTAATTTTCCTTTGTCGTTTGAGTGAGATTTTACGGTATCTATATTACTGTATATCTGCTTAAAGTTGTACTATTTTTAGACAATTCATTTAATGGAGTACATAGAAATCACATGTGTTCAATATTGTACGTAAGTGATCGCAAGTATACGAGTAAGGTGACCAGAAGTTCTTGGCGGGCAAGAAGTATACACAGGAACTGCGACCTTTTGGCCGGAGGAAAATTTGATTTCTTCTTCTTTTTTCAGTGATGCGACTTGTACGTTTGGAAATTTCCGAAAACTTATAATCTTGACTAATTACTTTTCAGAGCTTCCCTTTTCCGCTTCTCCTCTTTCAAATATTAATGATCTTTTCTCTTTATGTCTTAATATTTTCTCTGTTTATAGTCTCCAGGCTTCTCCTTCCTGCTGTAAAGAAGAGGCATGTCTGCACTGGCGTTTAAAACAATACACTTAATCGCCATATTATAGATAGAACTCAATGTTGAGTTGTGTAAACCTCCAACACACGACTCTTTCTTTATAAAGCCGATACCGGAATTGTACTAATTTTTTTTAATACTGATTTTAAAAAAAATTCTAAATTGTGGGTGACGTCCCTCACGTAAAATTACATGCCGAAGGAGATTATATATATGGCAGGATGTAGAACAGCTCGGGGTGCGTTCTTCAAACTGATGACATGTATACAAGTGCAAGAACATAACCATGTAAAAGCGGCGATATATCGAAACAAATCCAACAGCCTCGAAATCAATTTAAAAAAAAGTTATTTCCAAATTTATTTATTAAGAATTATTGATGTGAGTGCGTATGGAAACAAAGTTTCGACCGTGCATTTATTCCCTAAGGGATTTTGCACGTGTATCTGTTGAACGTAAATGTCTCTGGAGGCTTTGTTGGATAGAAAATGAAATACTCATCCATTAATGCCAAACCAGTCAGATTTACAATGAAATGTGCATTCATCCCTGACAATCTCCGATCGTCTGACCTTTTTTTGATCAAAAGTGTTTGACGTTGACACTTTGATGACTTTGATGATGATAAGAATATTATTTGACGGTAAGCACACTATAGATATAGATATTACATCAACATTTTTCTCTTGCACTACGCGTATATATGATAGTTACTGATTGTAAAATATTAGCCAGTTTTAAGGAGAATTATTGATTTATCAACACATACACTTATTTTTTTAAGAAATACTTACCAGTAGCTAAAGCACGGCTGGACAAATTTAATTCGCCCCTCAGACGGGCTAATTTCAATAATTTTTCCGTTAATATTGTATTATCTTCCGAGGGTTCCCGTTTACGAAATATTGGATTCAAATTACGCAACGTAGGTCGTTCAGTACGACGGGGAGGAGCCCGTGAACGGCGACAAAACGATTCAGCCGAAGTTTGCGGTTTTGAACTCGCTGCAGACATTTTGCGTTGCATTTTGACTATTTGCGTATATTCGTTTACATATGTTATCCCACTCAAACAGTAGCAAGGTATTTGATGATAATAAATTAAAGGATTGTGGAAAAAATGATTACCAAAGCCGGCGAAACAATAGTAAGTCTTGTAATATTGCCAATCAGCGCAGTTGTCACTACGACTATAGTTGTATTTGCAATGAGAAAATATATAGAAAAAATTACTGTTATTAATAATAGAGCAACAAATAAAAATTACGCTAGAAGTAAAGAAAAAAATAAAGAAAGAGTGTATTTTGTAATTGTTACGAAAAATTGCTTCACTTAATTCGTGTTAAATAGCTATGGTATGCATGCACAATAAACTTATGAATGCATTTCCATTCTCTTCTTACAATGTTTCGGTTTATTTGTATTTATTATATATATGTATTATGCATTATGCATACAAACATTACATTAACTTACTTTACTCTTATTCGCGCAGCACACTGAATAATTTGTATTATTTTAATGTCTTCAACACTTAAAGCGATTCATTCAATTTAATTGTTATTTTAACTCTCTTTTTTTCTTTGTTTTCTTTTTTATTATTTTGAATTAAGTTAAATTTTTTTGATTAGCTGATTTCGTATACTGATTGTACTATATTTTCTTGAGAAGAATCGGAATCGCTCATGTTTACTTTATTAAAAACAGAGAGAGAGAGTGAGAGAGATAGAGAAAATAATCGAGAGTGAATTTTAAATAACATATGAGAATATTATGAGTTTACGAACACTTAGCAACTCTAGCTGTAGAAAGAGCTTTTAAATTAATATGAGAACCGTTATATCAACCCGTTTATAGGAAATTAATTGTAAACGTATATGTATGTATAGAAAACAAAATAAATTATAAAATAATGAAGAAGAAAAAAACTTATACTCGAGTGCATATTAAAAAATTTCATAGTATTTTTTAATTTTTCTTAACTTTTTTAATTTTGGGAAAAGGTCGTTCTTTCTCGACTATTTATTCGCTACATCATTTGCTGTAGAGAGTATATTAAGTTTGTCCGGACGTATGTAATACCACAACAATTAATAGAGACCCACCATTTATTATGCATTTTATTGTATACAGGGCGTCCCAGAAAATGTATATGCAGACTGCCTGTCCCGTTTCCCTTTCAAATTTATCCCTGCTCCGTGTAAATTAGAAAGAATAACGTGTTGAAGTCTGAAAACATATTTTTGGGACTGTATATTAAGTTTGTCTGTCCCAAAAACTAGAGAAATTGTGTCGGATTGGTCCACTTTTTCAACAACTCTCCATACAACGCTTTATTGTGGAAAAATTTTAATTCTCAAAATTTCTCGATAAAATTTCCTATATAATTATATTTGGGGATTCTAAATTCCTACGATAAATTTGGTTCGGCTGCGGCTGTCAGATAACCTCGTGTTCTTATCAAAATCTTTATATGGTAAAAGGGCTAATTTGGCACATGGCTCATGACAGTAAACTGACAAAGAAATCAATCTCGCCGGGTTTGGATCACGTAGGTTTATTTTTTAAACTCTCGAAAAGCCCTAATTGCTAATGATTTGTGATGAAAATTTCTCCACAAGACAAAATTAAGTAGAGCAATTTTGAGCCACGTAGGTTTGCTTCTTGGACCCCGCTCCAAGTAAGATTTCTCATGAGCAATAAGCTCTTCAGAAAAAGGTGTAAATTTTTATATTTTATGATGAAAATTGGCCCATAACTGCGAATTAACCCAAAAAATTAGCAGTAGGGATTTTGAATCATAAGCCCTTCTTTTAGACCTTAGCATATGCAATGGTTATCATGAATAGCAAGCACTTATACGAAAAGAAAGTCTAATTTCTAGTTTCTTATGACGGAAACTGAAAAATAAAGGTTGTAGGAAGTAAATTAAGTTTGCTAAATTTGGATCACGTCATATGACGTGGGAATTTGGAATGCAAACCTAATATGCGGGCTTTCATGAGAAATACGCCTTTGCGTGCAAATAATGTGTAATTTTTGATGCATTGTTATTAAAAGGAGTGGATAACTGTACTGGGTGAATTGGCGTAGCGTGTTTAATGGTCGGCTACTTAATGCCCGACTATGATGTTCTTACTTATTCGAATTTTCAGTATTATATAATATATAATATTAATTTCAATAAAAGGCTCTTGTTGAATAGGAAGCGGAGATAAATTATGCTTTTGGGGGAACATAGATTTGCTGAAACTCTCACCTCTCCTGTCGACGGATACGCCTACAGTAATGTATTATTATGTAAAATGAGTAAACCTCTTTTATTTAAAAACAGTAAAAAATTGGTTTTTTGATCATTAGTCGTAAATTATAGCATATAAAGGTAAAATAACTTGAACGCACATTCTCTGGACGATGTTGTAGTAGCTGCGCAAAAAGAGGGAAAATTGGCCATGCCTGTCCAATATTATAGTGTAACTTTAGAACTTGCAATAATTCTTTCTTGAAGCGATTCAGAATTGCTTGCTAAAGGTTGTGTGTCCTGCCTGTCCACCCGAGGTATGTCCCATATATTATTACGTTCAACTTACTGATCGCAATTTTTGAGACATTTTGATGAAATTTAGTACACTGGCGAGTTTTCAACAGAAAACGTATTAAATTTGGGGATTTTGAAACCAATGAAAAGATAGTCAATTCTAATGATGAAACTGCACGCAATCTACTGAAATATTTTTGGTTAAGAATTTAGATATTAGCTCTTGTTGTTCGTTATCTACATATAAAAACTGTTGTTATTTTTTTGACAACGAATCATACCTAAAAAGAGGCTCATTAAATATTTACCAGAATTTAAACATAGCTTTTTTGCTTGTTTTCAGATTTCGCGGTGGAGTGAAGTAATGGCTGCTGCTATTGGCCTTATAGAAGAACAATCTAGGTTCACTTTCACTTTGCTTCTAGGTTATGTCAACTACACAAAGTACAACAAGTTCCATTTAATTTATTATGCCCACCACTTAAGGATCGGAGAATACTGATTTTGTATTTTTTCGTAATGTGTGTAACACCCAAAAGGAACGTTCAGAGACCCTACAAATTATATATATTTTTGATCAGCATGAAATTGTGAATTGATTAAGCCATACCTGTCCGTCTGTTTGTCTCTGTGGTGTTTGTTGTTGGCACTCATTTCATCGTAAAAATGAAGATACTTCGAATTTGATAAAAACATTACATGTCTTTGCACGCAGGTCTATATTGAAAATGGGCTCAAATGGCCAGAGCAGAAGACCGCAGTGGAGTATGAACTCCGTTTTTCTTAACAAAAATTTGTGGGTTTTTGCTCGTTGCTCAGAAATTACAAAAGTGAGAAGACTGGAATTCTCCTCGCTTACTTTACGAAGCACTCTACCCTTTACGTTCAAAAATGAAAAAATCGTTCATGCCCACACAAAATTACAAGTGAATAAATTTTCTTTTTTTTCATATTTTTGCCTATTTGTAAGCCAAACAAGAAATAATAAGCCAAACAAGAACCTTATGAAGATATATCATCAGTCTAGAAATGGGTTAATTCTAAAAAAAAATATGGTAGACACCGTGACCTAATGGATTAATTTTGAATAATACCAGCGATATGGGTATCAAATAAAAGAAGCATTGGTGGGTATGCGAGTTTCGGGTCCCGCCGAATATAACCTGCTTATTTATTTTACATTGAGCGTCAGTCTCTTGCGCTGTTAAGGATCGGCATTGTACGTCTTTAAGATTTTCAGGACCTTAGACATGTTTTGTGCCGATTTCAAACAAAAGAAGCATTACCGAAAATATATTGTAACATCTGAAACATTGTGCGGTATTAAAAAAAAAAGAAATGAAGATCACGGCAAAGAAAAACAAAAGTCAACAATAGATGAAGCAATAAATTTAAGGCAAAGATTGTAACAAATGAAAAAGAAAATGAATTTTCACAGCATTCTGAAAACTAATATTCATGAAAGTGCTAATATAGGAGAGTGCCCGAATTGTGGACTAACGTAATTCAAATGTAGCAAACTCAATGCACTTATCAAAGATTTTCATAATTTCCATCTAGTTTCATCATTAAAAAGGACAAGATAGGTTTGGCTGGCGTAGATGTGTTTGCTTTTCATCAAAGCTCTTTTATATAGTTGGATCTACCTAAAAGACCTATTTGATCCAAATTTTCATAATAAGTTATCAAAAACTGCACTTTTTTTCCATATAAGATTCTCTGTCCATAGAAGCGATTACATAGCAGATAGTTCAAAAAGTTGTCTCATCTTCTCCAAAGTTTGTACACCAATTTGTACTATAATTTAGCAATTTTTCTCGTGAAATTCTGAAAACTGCAATGGGGAGTGGCCGAAAAAATGTTCTAATCGAAACCATTTTGAATGGTTTAAGGTCTCGAGCCAAAACACGTATGTGTACCGAATTTCATCAGCATATTTCGAAAATTCGCGAGCTGCAAATTGAACACAAAAATGGACAGATGGACAAATAAGCTTAAATTAATTTTTTGAATGGATCGGTATAATAAAAGATAGGTCTATCTCAAGTCCTAGTAGGTGTTACAAAGGTCTACGCAAACAATTGGTGTAGCGGCTTCTATGACTTTTTTATCCACTAAAAATTTATAAATACTTTTTATGTAAATATGATTGTATTTTGATTCTCAAAATTTTTTTTCTCTTTTTACTACTTTGTCAATCTTATGTAAGTTTTGCGTTTTTTTAGATTTGACTGAATTCAATCATTCAATCATGTTGTTATTGACATTGCTCCAATTCCGCGTGATCTTGTATAATACGCTGACAAATAGCTATGAATAAATGCTTTTATATATTTCGTTGATTTTTTTTGCGATATTTATTATTATCGCTTAAATTGCTGAAGCACGTGAATTCAAGAATAAATTAGTAGCCTTTCTTTTTGCCGTTGGTTTTTCTAAACTAGATATAGGCAAAGTGACGTTGAGACATACGATCAGATAGCCAAAGAGCCAAACAAAGGCGGTTTTGCGGATAAATATATAGATAAAAGAAAGGCATTTGCCAATGGCTTGATACGTTAGCCATTGGCGAGAGAAAACATCCAGAGAAATGAGCGAACGCATAAATTAAGTGAACGGATGGACCGAAACAAACAGAGAATCAGGTAAACGGATGGACGAAAAGCAATCATTTTCTTCTATATCTCATTACCTAAATACTCTATACATTTATGAAAGATTGTTGTTACGGGATGGAGAAGAGAGGCAGCAGAAAACCATCGTTCTCTTTTTAAATACTATATAGGCGCATGGCAGGAGGATATATAAATACGCGGGCGAACAGGTGAAAGTGATATAAGCAGGCGTACGAAAACAAACGTGCAGACGAACAAATAAACGGAATATAGGAAAACGTGTGGATGGACGGTTTGATTGTCCTAAGAAAACCATACGGGTAAGCGTAAAAAGGTATAGGAACATGTGCGGATATATAGTGAGAAAGAGAGTGAGAGGAAGAGAGAGAGGGACGGAATTTATAGCGAAGGCGTACAGAGATTACATAGGATATATCGAAGAATGGAAAGATAGTGAAGAAAATGTAGAGAGGTGAACGGTCAAATTTACGATTGGAGGCACATATA